GAGGGGGGTGGGGGTTGGGGAGAGGGAGGGAGGGAGGGAGGGAGGGAGGGAGGGAGGGAGGGAGGGAGGGAGGGAGGGAGGGTGCGAGCGAGCGTGAGGAATACAAAGGGGAAGGGGAAGGGGAAGGAAAGGTGGAGGAGCATCGTATGGCAGGAAGTAAGAGAGGAGAGATGAGCGAGCTGAGGGTAGTGCCGTGTGCTGTCTGACCAACATCGACTAGAACGAGAACGGGAGCGAGAGCGAGAGCGAAGGAAGGACGCTCTTTGACGTTGACACATGCTCCTGGGCTCCGTCGATCGACGTCAGCCAGGTCTGCTTGCAACATTCGCCAAGTGATGATGCTGATGCTGCCGGTGAAGGGAGAGGAGGAACGGGAAATGCAGGAAAGCACAGTCATGGTTACACGAGGGTCTGTCAACCGATCCTCCGTCACGTCAGGTAAGTGTCGTGCTTCTCCTTCTTGCGGTAGGATGTGGCAGCAATGGTGGTAGCTGAGGAGAGGAAGTATATAGGAACGAGGACAAGGGTATACTCTGAGGAGAGGAGACATCCGAGGGGGTTACATATGAAGGGGGTATATAGGAGGGAGGAGAAGGTATTCTCCGAGGATGGGGATGAAGGAAGGGGATGGGGAGTATAGGAACGAGGAGAAGGATATACTCTGAGGAGAGGGGTACATAGAAGGGGGATTTGTGGGATGGGGTAGACTTACGCTGATGTTCAGGGGACTCTGAAGTAGATGAAGAGCTGAGGAATGCTTCTTGACATTGAGCTCCTGTCGACTTGAGTTGCTGCCTTGCAAATCGGTACAGCACGTCGATCAAGTAAATTGCGCTAGGCTGCTGCTCCGATGCGACTCTCCTGTTTTCCCTCTCAAGTCGACCTTACATTTCATTTACATTACTTGCACTTTATACGCTTAAACTTGATAGAGACAAGACGGCTATGCGGAACCAGATACAGCGTGGCTGTTGAGGGCACGGCGCACGAGACGACAAGTAGGGCGAGCATGAGAAACCGGAGACGACAATCAGGTCATGAGGAGGAGAAGGAGGAGCAGGAGAAAGAGCAGGAGCAGTCGCCGAAGATCTTGCCGAGCAGCATGGACACTTGTTGGACATTCCTGAGCTGTTTCATTCTTGCTTTACCATAGCGAGGTCATGGCAGGTTAACTTATTATTAAAATGCCTTATGGTTACAGCGCTTATTTCTAGGTTACCGTGCTTATTTTTAGGGGGGTACATTGAGTTACAAGCTTTATACGCTTATTTTAAGCTGATGTACTTCTTTTTTGGGCTGTGGTGCTTGTTATTTTCAGTCAATATTTTCCACCGAGTCGACGAGAAGTTGTGTGGCCCAATAGAGGGATTGCTGACCGGCGAAGGGAGCACCCACCGGTGTCTTATCCAGCGCTTAGGGGGGTCATATCCCTAAGAGTGTAAGCATTCTTTTTTTCTCCCGGAGGGGTGCAGCAGAAGCTGGCAAAGAGGTCGGAAACGTGACCTCGGAGGGTAACGTGACTAGTCTCAGGAACGCAATGCTTCACGCCCACGATACGAACAGATACAGACCCTACCCGACCCTCTGCTGACCATGATCCCTTGACTACCCTTGTGTTCGGGCTCCTTACCACCCTTTCCAGAAGTCTTTTTTTGATCGATGCCTCCGAGAGGACGTCGGTCCTCCGAGAGAAGATACTACTTACGGGAGATACCGCTTAAAATTGTTTTAAGCCATAGAACTGTTTCTGCTGACATCAGCATTGATCTAAAAAGTAATTTATAGCGATTTCGAGATACACAACCCCACGGGTCAGCTCGAGTCAGCGATACCTTGAAAGAATGAACTTTCACAAGCAATCTTAACGGCTTCAGTCAGCAATCCATCTCATAGAGATCCGGGCGTATTCTTCAAATGAAGTTTGAATCAGATCTATTTTCAAACTTAATCACAAAAATTGAAATGACACGATAGAATTGAATGAAAATCTACCAGACACTGCAGCGTATTTTTCTGTCACGGGGCTCACAGTAACAGCAATTGATCACATAACCATCTCTATCACGGTACTGCTGCCATGACTCCTTCGTCGTATCTTCGTATCATGTTCAACAGTCACGAGACCCGATAGGCGCTAAATCTCGATCTATTTTGTCGTTGTTCAGACTTTTTCTCGGGGAAGTTTGTAATTGCCTTATGAGATTTTGAAACTATCATGATTCACGACCAAGTTGATGACAACTATAAAAGTGTTTTTAATTTGCCCCAGCTGACATCGTTTAACCCCATTGAGCCACCCACCCCCTTTTCCACAATTTGCTTCCCTACTGCTCTTCACACCCCTACCCCTGGGTACTCCGAGTCATGCACCTCCATGACCGGGGGCGCTTCCGCTTCTACCCCACCCTCAACAGACGAAATTCTCAATAGGTGCAGGTGGGTCATCGGCATGTGGAAGGTAATATGACCTAGTCTGATATCTCCCCACCTACCCACCCCATTTATCTCTGCCCTACTGGAAACATCTCGTGATCTTACTACCCCCACCCCAGTGTCCCTCTTTACACTCGACCTGCTCATGACCACCCACCCCTGTGGACTACAAGAAATGCGGAGGGTGCAGTTGTATCCCACGTACCCAAGGACTTATTTAAATATGTTTTATGATTACTTTTATTTTTAATTTTGTTACAATACACTTTTTATCCCCTTTTTGCTCTACCTAGACGAGACTTCCACAGACCACCCCTGTCATGTACTACCCCACAGTTCTCAGACTAGTTCCGGTCAAAGTCTGGTGGGGGTGTCTTCATCTTTTCTACCGTCGGGTGAGGATTGAGGGGTGGGGTGGTAGGGTTTTACCCCTCCTCTACTCGCCGCTCCTGCCCTCTTGCAGTCGTCTCTACCCCTTTCCCTCCAACTCCTTCTTCCTCCTCCTCCTCCTCCGACTGGCTGCAACAGTATCCTCTGCCCTGCCCTCGCCCCTGTTTGTTCCTCACTCATTCCACCCTCTGGTACACTCCCTTTCTCGCTGAACTCGCAGATTTTCCTTCTTTACACACGACTTTCTTTCGTAACGCTCGAAGAATCTCACTGCATTTCTCCTCAACAAGCTGCTCCGAATCTTCGGCCTTTTTGAGAGAATCGAAATCTTCTATCGTCCTACCTTGAGGCGAATGCAAGGCAGAGCCTGGTGATGGTTACAACGTTGATTTCGAATCCAAGCATGTGGCCGTTGCAGGGTGGGAATGGGACTTCGTGTGCCCCTGACGTCCCTCTGTCTGCCCCGATATCCAATCTCTCTCTCTCCGCATCTCTCCTCCTGCTCAATCAAAGGACCCAACAGGCTCAGTCTCCTTCTACCCAGCTTGCGGCCAACGTGGGGCTCCCTTGGTTGGTATCGTCTCAGCTCACTCCAACGATGTCGTTGGCTCCAGCGCACGGCGGGCTTCTGAACGATTTGGCTGCCTCGTCCTCCCCTACCATGTCAGGTCTTTTTGCACAGACGGCTCAGAAAGACATGGCTGCGAATGCCAGGGACATTGCTAGCCTGCTGAGCTTCAAGCTGGGAAACACGCAAGGGGCAGAGGACAGGAAGGATCTTTTCAACATGAATGCCAGCGGTCTGTGCCCCAACCCTTTCATGCAGGCATCCATTGGATCCTCTAATTTGATGATGCCTCATGACAACAGAAATCTCATCTTCGGCCTCGGTTCCAACTTGGCTGCCGACCAGTTGTCTCAACACTCCATCTCCAACAATTTTGTCTCGTCCCTCGCAGCCCGCGAGTCTCCTGGAATGAACATGAGCGCTGGGCACAGCTCTACCCACGAGGAGGGAGAACGCACCAACTCCATGTCGTACGGAGTGCGCTCCTCCTCCTCCCCTCTCACACATGGGGGCAGCCTTGATGGCGCTGCGACCAACGCCAGGGCCAAGGCTGGAGCTGCGAGCGTGAAGAAGGAGAAGGAGGAGAGAGGCTCCGCTTCTCCGCAGAGCCCCTCATCAGGTGATGAGCAGCCAGGAAAGAGCAGCAGCCGCAAACGCCCTCTTGAAGCTGGCGAAGGGGGTAGCTCGACCAAACGTTGCAGCCGGTACTGGACCAAGGAGGAGCACGAGGTAAGGGCAGTTCTGAAGCTCAAGGATGACAGGCTGACCTCTCCTGCTCTCAGATCTTCCTCAAAGCCTTGAAGAAGTATCATAGACCCCAGGGACCCTCCCCCAACAACCGAGTTCGGGTGGGGCTCGGCGAGGTAGACATCGTTACCTGCCCTCTCCTCTTGTCTGTTCTTGTCTTGCTCGCCCTCTTGCTCCCTCCATGTCCTCTAACCTTGTCTGCAGGGTGTTGCAGAGCTCATTGCCGCGCATGTTAAGACAAGATCTCCCGCACAGGTGACGTGAAGAGCAGAGGAGGAGGAGGAGCCGAGTTTCTCACATTGCCTCAGGTCCGCTCGCATGCTCAAAAGTACTTCATCAGAGAGTCGAAGGTCGCGCCACATTCCGAAGACCCTGAAAAGTCTCCGTGAGGAGGAGGAAGAGGATGGATGTATGAATAGTACGGCTAGCTGGGATACCTCGATTGTACAACGTGGCACGATTTTAGCGATTTCATTAAATCTTTAAATAGATCATTCCCGTATTCTACATCTTGTACACCATCTTTTTTTTTATTCATCATCTCCTCAACCTTCACCTACTACCAATGTCATCTTTTTCATCATTATCATCTTCATCATCGTCGTCGTCATCATCTGATTCCCACAAATTCCCAGTTCATCCTCTCGACCTTCATCCACCATCATCATTTTGTACGCATGCTTCCCTCGTGGACCTGCCAGTCTGATTCTTGAGTGCACAGATGAATCGGCACTTAGGGGAGATCATCTTAACAACTCCAGTCACTTGGCATACCGTGCGCAGGAGAGAAAGAAAACAAGGAAAGCGACATCCCCAAGATTCTTGACATTCCTCGTTCTCGTCCCCCTCCCTCGCTTCCTCCCTCATTCCCCTCTAATTCTCATCCTCCTCTCTTGTTCTACCCCTTCCCACCTTCCTCTTGCCCGACTATCCCCCCCCCCCCTTCCCGCCCTCCCCCTCCCCCCCCAACTCTTCTCCTTGTTTGTACCTGATCATCTCCTACAACCATCACATCGCTCACATGCGCTGATTTCCTACAGTGAAGTATCACCCTCACAAGAGACTTTCGTCCTCATCTCCTTCACCTCAACATGTCCGCAAGAACCTCGCAGAGCGTCTGAGATCCATGGGACGTCAACAAACAACAGACGCAGTTTCATCGCTAGCAGCAACCTCGTCATAGCCCCGTCCTGACTCCTTTGCTGCCGCCTTGACCGTCTTTCCTGCACCATTCCATCCCCTCACGAACTGCGGTGGGCATGCGGGAGAAGTGCTACCGAGGTATCCCCGGAGGCAGCAAGGGCAGAGCACGAGGGCCTTGGCCTTGGGAAGAGAGTTAGGAGGAGGAGGCGGAGGAGGAGAAAGAAGTTGATCGCCACCGCGGGGAGGAAGGCGAACAAATCGATCAGTCGGGGAGACAGGGAGCCGCAAAGGTGCATCCCAACTGCCAATGACGACATGAGTCAAGTCATTGTCACGGTCGATCAGAGAAGTTGAATGAGAGAGAGAGGATGGCAAGTTACATCCGATGATATACGAGAGATTCGACACGATGGATACGACATAACAGCCAAGTGCAACTAACAAGATACCTATGATGAGACACAATTGATAAAGACGGCATAAATACGAAAAAAGAAATGGAAGGAGCAGAATTCAATGACATACGACGAATTCAATGACATACGACAGCAAAATACAACTGACAACACAGTTGACGTGACAACGCTGACATGATACAACTGATTCGACACAACTTATAACACACGACTGACCTGCGATTACTGTCTTCATCCCCGCGATGTCCACGAGCACCTGCCACCAGCCCGTCGGCGACAAGACGGGCAGCACGAGCTTCTCGCACCTCCGCCGCTCTGCTGCTGAAGAGGTCGAAGTGGAGAAAGGAGAGGTTATCCTGGGACGAACAATGCGACATGTTCATGTTGCCATTGGCATCGAGCAAGTACACGGAGGCGCGAGGAAACTCCAAGGAGAGCAGGAGGCTGGGGAAAACTTGAGGAGAGTCAGGACGCGGGAAGTTTGGTCTGACCCTGTGAACCCTTTCCCGGAGCAGACATCGAGCATGACAACTTGATCTCCTGCACGGGCTGTCAAGGGAGAAACTGGCAGAGGGGAATGGTCGGGAGGAAGCAGGGGGCAGAGGACTTGCAGGGAGGACGGTGGTGCGACCATGGAGTGGGAGATGCGAAATGAAAAAGGGCAGTGAGGCAGAGAAGGCAGGGGAGGAAGGGGAGGCAGAGGAGGGAGAGTAGCGGCAAGTGAGTACTGCAAGGAAGGCAACGGAGGGAGGGCTTGCCTGTTTCAGGGAGCTGTAAACATCTCAGAGCATCTTTCACTTGCTTGACTGGAGTCGATGATCAGAGCAAGCAAGTAGCAGGTGCGAACTCTGACCTGCAGCCATAGCTTCTGTGATCTCTTTGCTCCTGTTCTTGAACTTGAGCAAGCTCTGGTCGTCAGCATGAGGGTTCAGGGGGTAGCTGCCCACAGCCAGTGCAAGAGACAACCGCCAGTCTTGTGTCTTGACGAAACCTTTCCACCCATGGCGATCGCAGGAACACTTCCAAGTGAGCATTCATCAACGTCTCCTGCTCATATCCTTTACAATCACAAGAAGCAGACGTAGCATCCTTCTCACCTTCTCCTCCACCAAGATGCGGAGGAGTCGCTCACAATCCACCTCCTGCTGGCTCGCCTCCTCCCTGGACGTCTCAATGGAGAGGCTCGAGCTACAGCACAGGTGACTACGTCAAGACTCTCCGAGAGTCTCCTCTCCTTGCCTTCGCTCTGCTGTAACATGACCTCTCCTTGTTCCAGCTTCCCTCATGATCGGCCGGGCGGCCACCGAGGCATCGGGCACCCCCGTTGAAACCTCCGCCCGTCCTTCCCCTTGCAGGAGACTGACATCAGATCGGCAGACATTCGTGACAACCCGAACAACCAGGATGCATGTCTTGTCCGAGCTCTATCAACAACCTTTCAGCAACAATCAAGATCCCGTCACAACCCCAGGGCAAAGAAAACCTCTCTTCTGACCAATGCGCTCCACTGCACCTGACAACACGCACAGTCACAGGACATGACAACGATCATGACCATGGCAAGTGGATTATCATGATAATCATACGCGCTCTTTCCAGGGAGGATCCCCTGCATACTCATAGCTCCACCCTCACCTTCCTGCTCCCGGCGTACAGTCCTTTCCGTTTCCAAACCTGTCAGGCACCATCACCAGCAGGCACAAGATGCGTGGAGGCGCTACAAGGAGTTGATGTGCTGAGCGCAAGGAAAACCATCTCGGAGGTTTCCGACATGCTTGAGCTCCCCCTTGCCTGTTGCCATCAGCGTTGAAAGCAGCCCTCTCCGACCATCTGCCTGCTTCACCTGCCTCGCTGCAACAACAAGTTTCGTCCCTCCTCTTCAACCACGACCAGCAGACCTTCCCCTGGTAGACTGTTAGCAGCATGCGGAGCCTGTAAATGCATGCCTACAGTAAATCGTCCCCTCTCCTCTTTCTTCTTGTCTTTGGATTGTTCTTCAAGATCCTGGTGTCGAACGTCAGAAGCAAGATCCGCGCAGACAAGAATGATGGCATGATCGCATCAATGTTGAGATACACCATGTTGCTAAAGACTCACAGCAATTGAGTAAGTGAACCAGGAGGAGGAAAATTCAGCAAGTGACTCCATAATACTTGTCATCCCGAGATCAACCTCTTCAGTCTCGCCAAATTTTGTTCTTCCCCTCCCTTTCCTCACGAGTCCGAACACGGTTCTCACATCATTTCCCCCTCCTTCCTTCCCTTCGTATCCACACTAATCCTCTTCCCCTTCCTCCTCCAACCTCCTCCACATGCTTCTTTCCAGCATCTTCACCTTCCACCGTCGTACGAACGCCATGGTTCTCCTTTCCCCTACCCACCACCCTTCACCCACCCACCCACCCTTCACCCACCACCGAAACTCAATACACCCCTTCCCCTACCACAAAGCAGCGGCAGTAAAACTTGGTACGAGGGGTAGGGTACATAATTGAGAGGGTTGAGGGGTTGTGGTTGAGCAACCTTGCAAGGGGGTACCCCAGTACATATACAGGTAGGGGCCACTTATTGTTATCCTCTCCTATCGTCTAGCGGTTAGGATACGTGGTTTTCACCCACGAGACCCGGGTTCGATTCCCGGTGGGAGAATGTCTCGTCAAGAGGACAACCTTTTTGATTCCCTAGTCTGATCCGCGCAGGCCCGCCGGTCCAATCGGCCGGGCAGGCTTCCCGGCCACTGTCACCCTCTGGCGAGTCCACGGTGACGCGGCCGCCGCGTGTAAACGTTCGTTGAGCCTCTCCTCATTGTCCTCCGATACTCGTTTTTAACTTAACCTTTCCGAGTCTCCGGCGGAGGCTCGGCGGCCGCCGGCCGCCACTGGCCCATCATCGGAGTCACTACTAGTAGCTCTCACACACTGACACGTACTACTCCTAGTACTGAGGCTACTAAGTGGTAGTACCCCGCTCGTACTGATTTTTAACTTAACTTTGATGATTTCAGTCACCTACTAGGTGTCGGACGGTCGGAAGTAAACTGTGACTGATCTTAACTTAACAATCGCAAGGGGTTCAAGATAATATGTGTCTTTTCCAAATTTCATCTCGAAATTATAATATTTGTATAAAGCCAAAGATAGCATGGTTTTGCCAATTTTGGATATCCTCGCTCTGTTTTCTTGCGGGCTCACCTCAATTTATGCACAGGCGCAATTCGAACTCAACGTTTCACGATGAACAAATTCAGCTAAAATAACATTTTAGGTGAATTCTGTAAGTTCAACTGAAATTGGGAAAGCCATTTGAGTAAATTTTAGTACCATTGTGCTTGCGCTAGGCGCTGATCATGGCGACATCAAGTGCAAGGGAGGGGAAGGGGGAGGGGAGAGAAACAGAGCAGAGGAGACAGGTAGGACCCAACGCACAGAAGAGAAGAGAAGAGGAGGGAGGGAGGGAGGGAGGGAGGGAGGGAGGGGAGGGGGGAGGGGGAGGAGGAGCGACCGAACAAGCGATCGAGGAGGCGTGAACAAACTTGAGAAACCATTGAGATGCATTGAAAGGGATTGTCAAGGGAGCGAGCAGAGGTTGGGAAGGGATGGCAGACGGCATGCGCATTGCGAATGGAAGATGCGCAAATTTAGAGTCAGCCTGTCGAAGGGGAGAGGAGCAATGGGGAGAGGGAAGAGACAATGAAGGAGGTCTGAATGAAGATCGTGAGTTGTCGGATCGTCTTTCATTCGGTTCAATATCAGAAAGCGCATCGACGTCGCTGCTTTTCACTGACATTCAGTCGCAGGACCTGTACCAGAATTCGTTTCTAATCAATCGAGTAATGTCGTCAGGTCGGGTAGAGTGCAGTCTCCATGGCTGGCTGACATCAGACGCGGCAGATCTGACAGCAGGGAGCGAAGTCATGATCCAAGGCCTTGAGGTAGCAGCCTGAAGCTTGTGAGGACAAGGATCCGATCACACGCTAACTGGCAGGAGGGATACAACGGCAAGTCAGGAGTCGTGCTGGAGACAGGAGAGAGGTTCAAGGTCTTTCCTGCTCGCTACATGCGCCTGCACACAATGACTCGCTGTCGCCTTGCCAGGTTCAAGTTGGGGAGGAAACCCTCCTCGTCGAGCCTGGCAACCTCGTTCTTGCGCGCAAGGAGGACGTGGGAGGTTCTTCTTTCTCGGTATCATCCCCCCTGAGTGACGGCGCGAGCAGCAGGGCGCGAGGAGGAGGGGAGGGTTTGCGCCATCTGCTACGATCCGCTGACAGAGAAGGAGCGTGCAGAGCTCCCTTGCTGCGGCAATGCTTCCTCGACAGTCCAGTACTGCACCGAGTGTATCCAAGTTATCATAGAAAGAGGTGGTGGAGGAGAGGAGGAAGCAAGGAGGATCGTTTTTGGTGTTGAGGGGCAGGGGACAGAATTTGGGATGCGGGGAGAGGAGTGTTTGGGGAACATGTCAGAGATGGGAGTGGGAGCTGGGAGGGAGAAATTCGGAGGAGGAG